AAAAGGAGCATATATCAATATTTCTAATAAGGAGACTTGATGAAACTTAAAAATACATGGCTTGTTAGTCCATCCTAGAACGTGATAGCGACTCCTTTATATTCCATTGTTAGTAGTTGTTGATGTTTTGTCTTGACATGCATAGTAACTAGCAAGTTTCTAAATGAAAATGTCTAAAATATGCAAGTGAGCAATCGCTAGTTGTAGATATGGTTGGATTTTTTCTGAGTTTTACAATACGTGGCCCCTTTCCTTATCTCAGGACTTCCAGCAGAGACATCCATTGAGAGGTTTGTGACTATTGGTGCATACAGTCTGTTACGGTCCTGTACAATTGAGCCAGAATGTATTATTGGGCAGCATTCAATTCTCATGGAAGGTTCCTTGGTGGAGACCCATGCTATCCTTGAAGCTGGATCTGTCGTTCCCCCAGGGAGAAGAATTCCAACTGGTGAACTTTGGGCTGGAAACCCAGCAAGGTTTGTCCGAACCCTGACGCATGAAGAGACCTTGGAGATCCCCAAACTTGCTGTCGCAATAAATGATTTAAGCAAAGAATATTTCCAAGAATTCCTCCCTTACTCCACAGTATACTTGGAGGTTGAAAAGTTCAAGAAGTCATTGGGGATTTCTATTTGATCAGTTGCATTGTCATGTTTCTGTGTATTGTTTAGTTGGAGGCTTTCCTTGTAAGGAAATAAGCAGCTTCGAGACAGAGCTTTCTTTTTTGGGTGTCTACCTTGTATTTCGATCAAATTGTTTTCAAATATCAATTGACAATCGGCTGTCCTATGGTAGTTCCGGGCCGGCACTTATCAGGAAATTCTGATCATTTGTTAAAGCTCAATGTCTGTGGGTGTGGCTGGCAGGTTTTATGTTATATATAAAGATGAGAAACCATTGCTGTTTTCCTAAGCTTTATGATACCCACATGGCACTACAAAAAGTAATAAGATTTGCTCTACATGGACTTGGATTATAGATTCTTAGGTTTGGTGAGGAATATTCCAGCCACCTTCACCACTTCCTCTTCCTTTCCTTCTGGTTGGTCTAGCATTCCACAGTACCAACAAAAGCGACTTTTCATGGAGATCATTGCACTATTGTATGATTAATCTTATAAGGTCTGTTTGAGAACATTTTGTGTAGGATGCACTTTCAATCGTAATTGCTTTTGTTGGAAACCCTTTTATTAGAAGAAAGTCGATATTTTCTTTAAAAATCCAAGTGTTTCTTGTGTATGCTGGAACGCTTTTTGTTGTCCGAAATAGCTTTAAGTCATTCCACAAGCGCTCCCAAACATACAATACAAAGAGTTCATCGAACTTTTTATTTACATTTACTTAATCACTTCCTTTCTCTTTGGTTGGTTGCAGAAATCCAGAGCACTAATTGTCGGCTGCCGACCGTTAATTCCCTCTTTACCTATTGGTCGGTCAGATGCCGGCTATAATTTGTTTTGACGTTTTTTGTTTGATTTTATGCTAATTACACCCAAAATAAAATAAATCCCAAATTTAAGATCCCAAATGAGGTGAAGACTCATAGCCCCACTTGGGTGAAAGCAGGATTTGATTCCATATCCTTGAAAGCAATGCCAAGAGCAACATTCTTCAGTTTCATATTGGTGAATTGAAGTGGGCAATGTGGCTCTTGGGCAGTCAATAAATTGAAAATCTTATAAAATAATAAATAAAAAACAATAAATTTGTAAATCTTCAAAGGGCAAACGGTGGAGCTAGTGCTTGTTTCTTCTTGTGGAGGCTGGGGTCAAATCTGTTTTCGTTTTCAGTGGGCTTCTATATTCATTTCCCTTTCAAAGACATGCTCTTAAATCATGAAGAAAAATGGGACAAGATAAAATTAGGTTTGAGTCATTCAGTGTTTGGCGAATATGCATACGTTTGTTTCTCCTGTTTTTAGTGGAGATAATGAGCACACCATTACCATGCATTATTACATTAATTAATTATAATATAATTTATTCGCACTAGATTAGAGGTTGTATTTTCTTGCTAAATACATTTATAAATTTTTTAAAAAAAACAAACGAACAAACCCTAGTTGTCAACAACCCAAATAAGACCTTCAAAAGTTCCTCACTTGAACATATTATTATTATGATCACCATCATCGCCATATGAACAAGTCTCCTAAGCATTCATTTGGCAACTTCTAAATTGGACGGCAATGAATTCCATAGAATATTGGCTACTTTTAATTTCATGGTTTTGCCAGTTCAATCTACCTGTGTATGGTTGAAAATACAATAATTTGAAAGATTCAACCCTCTAAAATATGGGGGGTGACAACACCAACACACCAAAACAAAACCCAAAAAAAAAAAAAAAAACTATTATGAAACTATTATGGCAAAGGTTTGTGTAATGACCACTACAATTGGAAATTAGAAGGAAATTGCAACTAAGGCATCTTTCTTGTGCATTCACTGTGACAATGTCATAGATCACTAAGCATTTGTGGAAGACCAAATGGAAAATTTTATTAAATATAATACCTTCTCCCAAATGAAACAAAGATTTTGACGTCTCAACCGTTGTCTGCTTGTATTTGTTTGCAACCCATCTTTATAAATTCCATTCTTCTTTCATTTCTTTTATATATCTGTCTCCCCATTTGCACCTTCTAGTTCAATGGCTTCTCCACATCCATCACCTCTTTTTTTGGTTCATTTTTTTTCTTCTATGCATCGTTGACTCGCCATCGATACGTATAAGAGGAAACCATATGAAGAAGAAGAAGAAGAAGAAGAAGAAGGTTTTTGATAGAGTGATATAAAGCAATGGAGGTGATCAAATTTATGATTTCCTTCCTGCCTTATCAGTTGTCTTCTTGTTTAGCTAAAAAATGTGGGATGTTGGAATGGCTCAATCAAATCAAATCTCCCAAGTATTGGGTCCTTTGATTTGATTGAGCCGTGCCAATATCACAGTTGCATTTTCACTTCATCCCATTTCGTGCTAACTAGTTTCTTCTTCTTCTTTTTTCCCTTTTTGGGCTCTAATTTATTACAAATTTTGTTGTATACTGATAACTGTGCTATACATGATCCTACGCACATGTACGTATACACATACATCCACATATATACATCTCATCTTATGTTAACATGCCTAAAATAGAACCCTGCATTCAGATATGATTCCATCTAATTTATTATTTTAGTAATAGAAATTACTATATTTTTGTATTTATTTAGACATGTTTGCAAATTGCATGGTTGCATCCACTTGTTTGGAAGCAAACTAAAGTTCTTGCAATTGAAAATATTTAGTGCATTATGTTCTTGGCAGCTAAATGTATTATAAGTGGTATATTGAACCCTCATTCGCATATATCTATAGTATATCTATATATGTATATAGCATGAAAATGTACCACACAATGTTCGTTGATCACGAATTGTGCAACCAAAGTGTATAAGCAGTTATGTTCAACTAAAGGTCCAAAATGGACTCCACACCACTAAAGCATCCAAGGAAGAAGCTGACCAAGCCGAAGGGGTAAGAGGAGCTAACCAATTCCCTTCTCCTTCTCTTTGATCTTTCCTGAAGGATACCTACTTCTTGGATGTTGGATGTGAGAAGTAAGGATAGAGAGTTAAGTATAAGCAACCAAATTACAATTGAGTGATCCCCAAGCGAAATCTACATCCTTCATGAAGGAAGGAACATCAAACAACATATCTAATGCTATAATGGTGCGGGAGTATATGATATCACAAGATAAACGCTGTTATAGACATGCAGAGTGCAACGAGTATCACTATCTTTATGCAAGAAACACATTCCCAATCTACCATCGGAAATGTAAATGAATCGTACCTAAAAACCCAATGCATTTGCCTCTGACAACCTATCGACATAGTCAACCGAGAATGAGCAACCAGACTGCTTCAAATCCTCGTTGACATTGCAAACAGTATGTTAGAATTGCAAACATCGAACAATTATAATTTATGAATCTAGTGTATATTAAAGAAGAATACAATAACAATAGTTCAAGGGATGTAATCATAGGATAAAAGGTGAGTGAGTGTTTTTAGCAACAAAAAAAAACATTGTTTGGCTAAGGATGTAATTGGTTGGAAGTAGATGAGGATCTTGTTCGAGAAATCGATGAGTTTGTCAAAAAAATTTGAGGGTTTTGGAGGTTTGAAAACAACGGTGATTGCCAAGCGAAAACTACATCCGTCCTGAAAGGAGGAACAACATGCAACATATCTAATGCTATAGACATTCAAAGTGCAACGAGCATCACTATCTTTTTGCAAGAAATTCAGTCCCAATCTACTATCAGAAATGTAAATTAACCATATCCAAAAACCCAATGCATTTGCCTCTAACAACCTCATCAACATACTCAACCGGCCTTTGACAACCTCATCAACGTACTCAACTGACAATGACCAACCAAACTGCTTAAAATGTTCGTTGACATTTCTCCGGGACCTCAGCGAAACTTAGATCATTATAATTATTGCAAACATCCTATCCCGTGGATGGAAGCATCAGACAATTTTATGAATCTAGTGTATATTAGAGAGGAATACAATAACAATAGTTCCAAGGGATGTAATCATTGGATCAAAGGGGTGCATGTTTAAGTCAAATACAGATTAGTCTACTGGTAGGGTGAGTGTTTTTCCAAACGCATTGTTTAGCTAAGGATGTCAAAAATGGGTGTGTGTGTGTGTGTGCGTGCGTGTATACGCATTCTGAGGTTACCCATAAATAACCTCAAAGTTCCCTTTATAGGCCACCAATAAAGGAAAAGATCACTCTAGTGGTGATGTTAGACTTTTCTAGTATTGGCTAAGCGTGGTTTCTATTCTATTAATACCCAAAAAGTGAGAAAAGTTTTTGAGTTGATTCATTAGGCCAAAAATTGCACACACCCAAATAAAAAGTGAACGGCTTGAAAAATTAACTTCGCATTTATGACATGGTATATATATCGCATGAAAATGCGCTACACAGAAAAGAAAACACCCAATGCAAATTAATTTCGGGGTCATACAAATAGTTCATTGATCATCAACAGTGCAACCAAAGTGTAAATAGTTGTGTTCAACTAAAGTAAAGGTTAAAAGAAATAAAGAAAAATAAGGAAAATGAGTCAAGCATAAGCAACCAAATTACAGTCGAGCGAGCGTCAAACATCTAATGCTCCAATGGTACTGGAGTATATGATAGTACAAGATAAATGGTGCTATAAACATGCATATTGCAACGAGCATCACTATCTTTATGTGCTTCCCCAGTCAACCTTGAAGGGCCACGTCCAATTTCTCCCCCGCAAAATATTCCTGCCAGTGGAACCCCAGGGAAGTTCTCCACGAAAGGAGAACCATCAACATTGACGCGTCCGAAGAATGACTCACCACGGCCACAACAAGCGAACATAAAACCCCCAAATACTTCACTTATATGACGACGATGTTTTGAATCTTCATCTGACTTCAACTTTTTAAGGCTTGAGGAGACATTGTTACATGAAGATAATGCAGATTCGGGGTCAGAACGATAGAAATGGAAGTAATCGGCAGTTTTAATGCCAACACCACTGACATAAAGGTACTCATCATCTCCTCTGTGGAAAAGGCCTCATGTTAATACTTAAATCAATAGATTTATCAAAAAAAGTTTTAAATCAATATAATAGAAATTCAGAAGAGAGCTGGTATACTATCCATGCAGAACTGTGCAGGAAATCCATTCCGAGTCCAAGATCAAAAGTTGCAAAAGACAATACAAACCAGTTAAAGATGAAAAGTTCTGAATATTACCCTACAACTCCGTGGAATTCTAAGGACGTAATCATTCTTGGCTTCTCTGATCCCATGGAGATATTTCTTCGTTTTATAACCCCAACGTATAGATCAGAAGAATCAGCATAATCTTCTAACTGTCACAAAAACATTTCAAAAACAAGAAAAGTACTTGTAAGAATATCTGATACTTGCATAAAATAGGTTTTACATTTACTATATATGTTAAATAAATTCACTTGTAATATTTTTTGGATTCACTAATCCAATGTAAAACAATACTTCAAAGTCAACTGGCACTTTCTGCAGATTTTTAACATGCACCACTTGGAAATTTTAAATGTGTTCTTTTACCTCATCGTTGATGTCATTAAGAAGTTGTTGACCATCAAGAATCTCTGGGTGTCCTTCTCTTCTAGCAGTTAGCCAAGTAGAATGCTCACAGTTGTTCTCTTTAACAGAAACAGCCTTGTGCCTGGGACCTACTGTTGACACTCCTTTTGACAATGCAATTTGGAATTGAATATCTCCCATACCTTCTCATTTATATCAGACCAGATAAGTGATAATGAAACACATTGGGCAGTTTGATATAATAACTTTACAGAATAAGAGAGCAATCATAGATATACTACATGATTACTAGAGTAACAGCAAAGGGGTGGGCCAAGGTTTCCACATGAAAGCAGGAAGAAGAAAACAACTAAGTCACTAGGAAAGTTCAGAAGCAAGCATCTATGAAACCTTATCAGCACATAATGAGGCGTGTGAGATACAATCTGGAAAGTTCAAAAAAAGAAGAAAAAAAACACTTACTCATAAAAATAAAAACAATTTGAAAAAAGCAATGCATTAAAAAAACGGAAAACCTTTATTTATCAAACGTTGAGATTAGCATGCATCTCAAATATGGAAACCAGATTAAAGTCAATTGTGAAGTTATGCAATTTTGAAAAGTCACTGTTCCAAAATTTGAAAACAAACTGTGATCGAAACCAAAACCCCATTTTGTTAAAGTATGCAAGCATTAAACATGAAAAGCATAAGTAATATGCTTCAGAATTGAATACATCTGGCTGTGTTTTAAATTGGCAAAGGGGGCTGCAAAATATACTGCTACCTGAAGTGGCTTCAGATTTTCAAAGGCTAAGGTAGCAATCTATCAAGAAACGATATATATCTTTGATTTCTTTCTTCAAATTTTGTCAAGGCATACAAGTTAGCTATGTGAACAGGAAACTACACTGGAAACAACATGAGGAGCACAGTAATGTATAAATAAAGAAATTAAATCATTACCAGATGGCTTGTCTTTGTCCCTGGCAAATATAAGAGCAACAGCATCTGAAAAGTTTTTTGCACTCCCACAGACATTTCTAGACTCATTCCCACTTCTATACAAAAAGCGACCTCTCTCATCACCCACAATGACCGTTTCCATAGGCATAGAATAGTCTGCAATAAATGAGATATTGAGATATAATCAACAAAAGTTGATCCAGTAAGATCTTGCAACAGAAAATTTTATTGCAACACACAAAAATTTGAAAGTATCGGCCTGTCTCCCTCATGTTTCAAAAGCTAAACAAATCATTCCTTGTATTTCCTAGCCATGAAACAAAGTGTTTTTTTCTTTTCTTTTCTTTTTCATATTCCTCTTCTAACCCCATTTCTTTTTTAGCAGTTAAAGTTTTCAGTTATAAGCATAAAACTACTTTTATGTTTTTCCTCATAAAGACAGTCTAATTAAAGAAGATATAAAAACATAATATGATTACACAGTGAGGATACTCACCCAATGCATCAATTATTGGTTTCATGTTAATAAGCCCATCCTGTACCATCAATCACGTCAAATATTAGCAATGCAACAATGGAAAACTGCAGTTGATTTTTAACAGAGGGAAAAAACAAGGAAAAAAAGAACGAATAGGCAATCAAGTATGAGGACAGAAACTCACTCCAAACATCATAATTCCAACAGGGAAGGTGCAACCTGAAACAGAGGCTGTGTAATCTTTAATATCCATGATGAATTTATCAAGCAAGACCTCTCGAGGTTCCTGATGTCATTGTAAACGTTTATGCGTCAACAAATCCATTACTGCGGAAAGAGCTTGAAAGATTCTACAAATTTCCACAAATGATAATAACAACCGAAACTATATGTCCCAAGTTTCCACATCTGAAATTCATCACTGTAGAACTTTCAAAAAAAATCAGCATTTCAGATTCATTGTAGAATTTGGCACCTTTGTTGATCTTAACAGTGGAATAGCATCAACTTTCAATCCCGGCACAAAGCCAACTGTCAAAAGGATGCCGTAGTTCACATCCTTTGCTGGTATAGAGCAATCTTCATCACTTCCATCACCACAAACATCTCCCCACTTAACCTAATTAACCAAAGTTTACCCAAAATTAGTAAAGAGTTAAACTTGCTGCAAAGTAATGAACAAAACCTAGGCGAACCCCAAAATACACAACTATCTATGAAACCTCTTTGAATTCATGGGTAAGAGCATCCCTTCCAATAATTCCGCTTGAAGTAGAAATGATAAACGGAACGTTGGACCCCAATTTTTTTGATATCTACAATATTGAACAGTAACACAAGAAAAATCCATAATTTGATTTTTTTAAAATTAAATATGTGTATATATAATGAAGTAAATTAAGGTTCATAGGATCAAGAACACATACAAGCTTGAAAATTTCATACAAGCGAAACCCACTGCCAATATTAGCTACAACGAAATGAGGTCGTATCGGCTCAGCTAGAACCTTCTCGATAACCTCTTTCACAGCAGCCTATCAATTCCAAGACACAAAAATAAAGCTTGACATACATATATACGCAGAGAAAATGTGTGATAAAATGTGGGTGCTCGTGATTTTCTGGGAAACCAAACGGGGGCAAAACCTTAGGCGAGGGGTGGAGAGAGAGGGCAGAGGCGAGTTTTGGGCGAGAGAGGATTCGACTGCAGATTTGGTTCCAGGATTTGCTAACGCACGCCGCCGATGCGAAGGATAAGGCGGGCAAGCGCGAGAGGATGTTGTAGATAAGGTCGTCGTTTATCGGCGATAACAACCCCGCCGTCGTTTGGGGCCGTTTCATGTCCTTTTTGTTTTTGATCGTCAACGACGACGACGATGCCTCGTCCATCTTTGTTCTGTAAAGATGGCAACTTTCAGAGTCTCAAGTCTCAAGCAATTGCAAGTTTCAAGCTTTGGTTGGTTTCAGCTATCGTGTTTGTATCTGCCCTTTCTTCCTTTAGTTGGAAAAATCGAACGAACTACTGGTAAAATATTCTTACTGTATAAATAAAAACAGGAAAAATACTATATAAGATTATAAAATAAAATAAATATTTTTTTTCTAAGCATATAATATAAATAAACATAAGTAATCACAGGAAAATTTGGAACACATTTCAGTCAAGCAAGTTATGTAACAAGCGATGTGTCAATTACTAAATTAATATCTCAACTCTCTCCCATCATAAAGCAAAGGTTAGTGAGGTAAAGCTCAATTGATTTAGATCTTCTATTTTCACTGTAGTTCGAAACTCTCAAGCACTCAATAAATATTTGTGTGTAAACTCCCTCCACCAATTGCTTGTACTAAAAAAAGAATTGAAAAAAGAGTTTGTATATCTATTATTATTGTTCTAACTTCTAATGATATAATTAGTTAATGTGATTTAAAAATGATGTCCATCAAGCATTACTTTTGAGTTAATAGTCAAGTATCCTCATATCTACCAAGGACGTGTTAGTTCATTTTTGAAAGGCTATGTTTAGGGGTGGGCATCAATCCGGCCGACCTAATGAATCTGTAATTATAAATCTGGTTTGGTTTTAATTAAAAAAGTCAAACGGTTTAAAAATTGAATCGTACCGTATATAGTTTGATTTGGTTTGATTTTGAGCTTTTGTAAAACCAGCCTAAACCAACTTATGTTTGAGAGAGACATTTTGAGATTAATTTATATGTTAATTAAACACACATCCATGTCTATGATTTGAAAAAGTGTTTTTTTAAAAGAAGCAGCTAACGTGTACTTCTTCAGGAAGAACCTTCAAATGCTTTATCAGGAAACACTTGGTGATGATAAGGGCTTCATATGCACATAGGATACTACCATTATCAATTTTCATTTGGATACATACTAATAGTACCAGCACTTCTCATTTAACTTCCTCCACATGATCAAGTTTGAACAACTATAGAAGCTACAATGGAATTGCCTGGCCTAGACCTAGTGTACATAAATGATAAACGCAATTGGAAGAGATGGCAAGACAGAACACCAACTTTCTGCCAACATCCCTACCAAAACCAAACAACAACAAAAGAAGATGAAAAAAGAAACCCTAGATCTTGAAGATCTTTTATTTCCATTCTCCAACTTTATTTAATCCACATGGAGAAAAATTGAGCAATATCTACTCATCTATGATCATTGGAGCCTCAGGAGGAGGAACATATGACATGGCCAAGTAAACAGAGCTGTAGGCATGGACACAGCTGCGAGGACCATTTCGTCGTAAATTTTTCTTAACACCAAGCAAAGCACCACGTCCAATCTCCCCACCCTTACCAAACATACCAGCGACTGGAACTCCCGGAAAGTTCATAGCAAATGGCTTGCTATCAACTCCAGGCCTCTTGAAAAACGACACACCGCGATTTTCGCAGGAGAAGATGAAGCCTCCAAACACCTCTCGCCCGTTTTTCTCATAATCTTCACGCAAAGTTTTAAGTTTGCGACAGGCTTGATCAATGGTGATCAAGGCATTTTCAGCATCTGCATGGTAGAAGAAGAAGATATCACCAGGTTTGATACCAATGCCATCAACAAGGATGAAGTCTCCCTCTCCACTGTTCAAAGTTCAAACCATAAAAACCAACACTAATTAGTCCCTTTTTGTTTTTCAATTGATATGAATATTTCTACAAGAAATTCAGGCAAACAGAAGTAGAAAAGGGGTTTGTGACTTACTCCTTAACTTCATGAAAGGACAAGGATCTTATGGAGCTTGGTGGTTTTTCCAAAATGGAGTAGTTTCTTCTTTGTGTGACCCCAATGTACATATCAGGCTTTTTGATCTACATCACAACAGATTTTTCTTATAACGAAGTTAAATCTATTTCAACCCTAATTCGGGTGATTTTTACCCTAATTTGGGGTGCTAAATTGACGGTCTGACATATAATATTCGAGCATATCTATGTTATTCGTGAGTCAATTACGAATTTATAGTGACACACCTGGCTTTTCAGTTCCATTAAAACATCGTAGCAATCGATAATGACACTTTCGAATCCTAGCATTATGGCAGAAACCCATGAACAAAGACAATGCTTCTCCAGAACTGAAACCGTCTTGAGATGAGGACCAAATGGTATTATACCGTTCGACACTGTGACATGAAACTCAGTCTCCCCTGTGTCTGCTCATTAAATTCAATACCAGGAAAGACACAAAGTTGATGAGTTATTAAAAACAGAACTTTGAAACAAGAAAATGGGAAGCACATGAATGACAGAAATAAGCAATAGAGTACCAAAAAAGGGTAAACTACTATGAACTATGATTATGTTCAGACATAATTTGTTGAAGAATATAGGACAGTTCTGCATAGGGAAATACCTTCAGGCTTGTATTGATCCCTCGCAAAAACGAGAGCAGCAGCGGCGAAAGAGAACACATCCTTATTGTAATTTTCCGCTTCATCCATTCGAGTGCACAGAAAGGCGGCACTTGCATCACCAACAATGGCTGTCTCATCTGCCATGACCTGATCTGCAAGATACAGAAAGTTATCAGCCATAAGATCCATAAACAAGTTTGTGGAAACATAAAAATCTATGAGCTTAGAAAATCAGGCTAATAAGTAAGTAATATATACTTATCAACTCATTTTAGGAAAAAAGTACTCACCAAGGATGGTAAGAATGGGATTCATATCCTCATTTTTATCCTAGATGAGCAACCATGAAGTAACCCAATTAGAAGAAATAAAGGAAACTGCCTTGTTGTGAATGTTTAACCAACAAAAGAAAAGATCAGATGAGGAAGACCAACTTACCCCAAACATTATGATACAAGATGGGGATAAAGAACCTGAAGCAGCGCCGGTGAAATCTATAATTTCCATCAGAAAGTGGTCAACCATAGTCAATTGTTGTTCCTGATTAGCAAGAATCTCCAAGTCATGCAATTTTCCTTCACACCAACAAATGGTAATAAAAAGAGAAACACTAATTAAAAGCTTAATAGCATTGCAAAGGCAGCAAAAGCTTTACATTCTTTGGCCTTAAGAGTGGGATGACGTCGACTTTCAAACCGGGCATGTATCCGACAGACAAAACAATCCCTTGGTTCGAATTGTTCTCATTCCACTCAGAATCACCATCAGTGGATCCCCAAACCACCTGCGCAAAATATTCTATTTAGTCAACATGGTCATTTTATTAACTCAAACAATTCCATGAAATTAAAGAACAAACCTCTCTGAGCTTATCAGTTTGGACATCAGTGCCAATTAGTCCCTTGGCCTTATTGGTTATAACCGGAATTCCAGGGCCTACCTTCTCAGTGATCTGCAGCAGAACAACCACTCTCAAAAAGAAAAAGAAAAAGAAAAACAACAAAAGATAACAACAAAAAATTTAAGCAGAGGTAGAATGATCATTTACAAGGTGGTGAGTTTCTTCCAAGCTAAAATTTATGCCGATGTATGCGACAATGAAGTCCGGTCGAAGCGGCTTAGAGAAAGCGTCAGCAAGAACCTCATCTAAGGCAGCCTTCAAAAAAAAAAAAAGAAAAAAAAAAAGAACCATACATGAAACAAAATCCAGAGTTAAGCAAACAGAGTTATTTAAGACTCACATGCAGGTCCGGATTGAGAGACAAAGCTGAAGAGAACTGAGGACGAGAAAGAATTTTGTTGCAGCTTTGGTTCCACGTTTTGCCAACACAGGCAGCTGATGATGCGAAAGAAACGGCGAGTGGTCTCGCCAGAATGTTCGCTGAAACGTCGTCGTGCGCCGGAGAAAACACTCCTTTTGCGTCAGTCATTTCCACTTCTGCAACCATGTCAGGTTTTGCAGCCATTGTCGTCTTCTCGTCTTCTCGTCTCCTCCTTCTGCTTTGTTATGAGAACGGAACGTAACAATGCTCTGAGTAGCTCTGCTCTATTGTGATGGTAGGAGTGGGAGCTCCTTTTTATATCTGATTTTTTGAACCTTCCTGAGTTAGGTAGCAGAAAACGACGCTGTTTTACATGCAAAATCATAAATTTTCATTTGTCTACTCTGCCAGAGAAAATCCAATCCAATCAAACAGTTTCCTAAATCCAAAGTATTAAATTGGATTTGAATTCTCTCAATTTACTACTTTTTTGGTGCTAGGCTATGCTACGAAACGAAAGTTCGTAGGTGCGATGTACCGTTAATCTCAATCGTACGTTTATATGGGTTATATATCAATGTACGGTTTAAATTGCTCACATGAGATGGATGTAATGCTTATTTTTCTACCGGAGATATTTTCGGTGCGACGGTCATGCCGCTACTTATTTTTACCAATCCACTAGTCTTATAAACATGTATTTGTTTTTTAATATCATACTTTAGGTCAATGCCATATAATTAATGCCGTCTACCTATATATTATAAAACGTAACTAAGCAACAGGATGTGACAGCAACAATCACACACAAGTATTTTGATAACTTTAATGTTATTTATTACCGCATCTGTCTTCACTGATTGTACTACAAGAACCTAATTAAATCGTATCTGGTGTTTTTTGAGTTGTTTTAAAATCTTCTGTCCTTTTCGACATGAATGTAAGAATGGATGCATAGTATGTATCGAATTGGAAGAGTTCTCTTATGTTGCTAAGCCACGAAAGTAGAGTTTACACATGCAATATACTGTTTATCTCTTCCGTACGTATATGTGGGCCTATATCAATATACGGTATTACCAATACACTCATGTCACTCGTTTTTTTTTTTTAACTAGTGTTTTCGTAATTTTTTTTAAAAATAGTATAGCCGCTCGGCTTTACTGTTTTAACACGTGGCGCATAGGCGCTAGGTGGGTCTTGTTTAATATACATATAAATCGTATAGCCGCTAGGCTATACAACTATTAATGTTTCTAACACATAGTATAGCCTCTCGGCTAAACCTAATTTGACACGCGGGTACCTAAGCGCTGGGCGGGTCCTCTTTTGTTTTTTATGAATAGTATAGCCGGTCGGCTATACGTGATTTTATTTTTTATTTTTAAATAGTATAGCCGGGCGGTTTGACTGGGGGTTTTTTATTTAAATTTTTTTTTATTTAAATATTTCAATTGAAATGGACAAGAGTATTAGGCGCTGCTTGGTGAACTTATAAATGTTGAGACTGGACTTATTAAATTAAACAACAATCCCACATATTGTATCTTACAAGTCCTAACCAGAGGGGTGGAACTCAAAAAGATTGGCTTGGACTCAACACCAATACAGTCCAAGCCGAGCTACCAATTTTATAACATGTGTATTTGTTTGTCCTATACCTTGGGTTTGCAACATATCATTTATGATGTCCACTTTAATGATAACACATAGATTAGTAATACTTTGTGGCGGTGTGAGGATGACACCCAAGTATTTTTATATCTTTGATGCTATTTATTACCATATCTCGTCTCGAGTCTTCTTTGATTATGTTCGAATAACCTAATTAAACCGTATCTCGTGTTTTTGAGTTGCTTTTAAACCTTAAGGTTTCACTCATGAATTTTTTGTATTTTGAGGTTTTGCTCCTGAACCCTATGAATTTTCGTATTTTGGTGTTTCGCTATGAAGTTTTGCATCTACATATTATTTAATTTGCAGAGACTCAATATGTCCTCAGACTCAATATGCCCTCAGGAACTGGCAGAGCCCTCAAAAAACGAATTGGCACTCAAGTGAGTACAGAGCAAGCCGGCTTTTGCTTCCCCATATGGTCAAACACATTCACAGTTCTTTTGCAGGTCAGATTGGTAATTAATTGACTGATATTCTTTGACCATAGTACAATTTATTAGAAACTACGAAGCGAAGAGTCAAACTCCTATGTGGTGAATGGAAAAGGCAAATAAGGAGTTGACCAAAATGGTTGTCCATCATGATTCATGAGGAGCCAAATATAATTAATCATAGTTGGGAGAGTATGTAAATAGTATCCTTTAGTTTACAGGAAGGCTAGAAGGCCCTGCAAAATCATACAAAGAGGTTCTAAATGAATTATGCAGCAGTATAGGAAACCTGCATTTTGCTACTGCCAATGGAAGGGAAGTGTTTGAGGGGCTTGATGTTGATGTTGATGTTGTTGATTGTTCCCCAGAGACCCATCAGAGCCTATGTGAAACATTCCGGGGCAATGAACATTTGCTTCACTTCCATTGGAGACCAGAACTGAATCCATGGGCTCTATACTGTTGTTCCCATGAAGGCTTCCGGGGCCTAATCGTTGTTGCATCAGAGATATTGAATTAGGCTGCTGCACCATGTGTCTCAAACCTATTTCAGATGTCTGCTGTGTCTGTGGTGATGACAGAAGAGAGAGAGCACAATCCGAATCGTGGATTTGAGTTGTTAGCCTGTCACAAAACATTTTGCTCTTTGCCCCACCACCAGTTTCTGAGAATGAAATGGTATTCAGAAGAGGCTGGCAGACAGATGCTCCATGATGAGATGTTTGGTTGTGGAGTGGGGAGCTTTGGAAAAGTGAGAATTGCTTTCCTCCCTTGTAGGTGCTGCTGGTGCTGGTTGAGGACCCAAGAAACATGTTTTGTTTATCTATCAATGGCAGTTGGAGATGCTGGTTATGAAGACCGGTATCGGCCTCAGCTTTGACAACTCCGGCCCACGTTGGGTTCACAACCGTGGTGGAGGGGTACACAAGTGAACTGGAGAATGGTAGCAATTGTGTACCTGCAAGAAGTGAAAATCTAATTTAATGCAAGAAATCCAAACTGCTTTATTTTAAAGAAAATGCATAAGTATATACTGGATTGTGAGTTGACATCAAATTCAAGAAATCCCATCAGTCTGCTTGAGAATTTAGTTCATGTAAGTTTGTACTAATCTATGTCAGTTAGTAAAAGCAGAAAAATTTGCAGTTCAAATGACATCTAAAGGCAGGCAGCACTTGACAATAAGATTAATACTTTGGAAGAACCATAAAAAAAATTTAAAGAGAAGGATCTTATTGAAGTCAAATACCAGGCTATAAGGATAGGCCACCAGAATTTGCTTTAGTGGCCACTATGTCATCAAGTGCGGAAATTGACCACACATAGTTGATGAAGCACTCAGCTGAGTGGATATGTTTAAATAAAAAGTTCCAGAGTATACTATACTATTACTTCTAAAGTTCTATGTACGGATGCAAGAATGAGTCATATCTGTCTGTGCCTGTGCACAAGTGCATGCACATGCCAGCTTCGAAGATATAGATAAGTGCACCACAAACAAGGTTGCAGCTAACCTTGGTAACTGGACAAATAACTTCCCGAACGTGACAAGGGTTCTGGTTGGGGCTTCCTTCGTCTACGATTGTGTCCATCAAGACGCTTCCTGCAGCTTCTCTTTCCTTCATCAAATTCCTCCAGCGAATGGAACCTACATAAAAGACTGAAGTTTGAGAAACTTGATCTTTCCAGGATCATGGCTCAGAACAGAAGGAATAACTCATCTGAAACTAACATATATAGATATCATCTTGAATATAAGAAACTAATCGATATCAGTTGAATTCTTGTTCGTTCACATTTGCAAGTCTACTAAAATATAAACAAAATATCAGATAGACTTGAAAGTTAACTCATATTCCTATTGCAGGGACATGAGGACATCTGTGGTACACTACCTCTTTAGAGAAGGATCACAAAGATGAACATCCTTCTGTAAGACATTCTAATTCCTGTATAATCAACCCAGCTATGACTCTCTCTCATATATAATAAGATCGCTTTCTAAATCCTAAATACATATCAAAGTTACAATTCAGTGCAAATGCTTCACCAAGGCAGCAGAATGCTTGGAGAGATGAAAATGACCTACCAACTTCTGTTGACAATATTTTGGGATAATCGCTGTGTAAGTAAAATTAAAATGCAAAATCAAAATAGGGAAATACTTGATCAAGAACATTGCAATAACTAAGGTGCTCCACATTCTAAAGCAAAATTCAAGTGAAAGAAAAACAACCAATGTTACTCTTACATGAAACACTTGCTGTAAAATCTTATACCTGCTGCACTGCTGGCAGAATCGTTGCTTTTGGCCGTTAATTGTGACCTGAGGAGTCTTAGAGTGGAGCTCACAGACTTTATGGCGTCTATGGTAATCTCTACAAACACTAAGGTCTGAATTGCAGCCATCAACAAGGCATGAGACTGTCTGAGATCCACTGTAAGCTGCTCTTGACCTCTTTGATGGTCCAGAAGGCGATGATGTAGTTTTCGGACCCCCAGCCTCCTTCAACATATCCACCAACTCATTGTTACCTGAATCACCCAACCGACCAAGCTTCAAATCAACAGAAAAGTTGCCTTTGATGGTCCTATGATCTCCAAAGCTACTAGACCCATCAACTGTGCCTAAGTTGGAAAAGGTTTCTTGTTCTAGTTCAGTCAAATCCCAAGA